ACACACTGAAAGTTCGTGTGGCTCTACAATGCAACATCTTCATCCCAGCCAACGCCCTTTCCCTCGGCATGCGGAAAAAGGTCGAAATACAGCCCATATAAGTCCAAGTACTAAATTACGGAGTAGGGGGATATTTCTGCTGTCATCAATCTTCAAGTTTAGCGCAGAAACGCATGATCGCACCAGCAAGTTTAGTGCGTTCCAACCTGAGTTTTATTGAGTGAGCAACCTGACAAAAACTTATGCAAATGCAAAAATGCATAATATTGACAGAATGTCTGTTTGCGTGTTTTTTCGGAAGCGAGTGAACTTCACCCATTTTCAACTCAGCTAGGACGAGAGCCATGATGCAAAAGTATTCTCCTAGCCGACGCTCTTTCCCTTTGCATGCAAGAAATGACCAAAACACAGACACACGAGTTGCACGTGTTGAACTGTAAAGCAACAACCATTGACCCTTTTAATGATCTGGTAGCGTCAAATTTTCCGCAAAAGCGCATGGTCGCACGGGCAAGCCTGCCCCGCCCTGTTATCTGGATTTTATTAAAAGCTGCCCGTGAATATGTAAATATGCAAATATGCAAATCACGCTCGCATGTCGCGAAAGGTTGCCCATGCGTGGTTTAGGCAATTACAATAACTCGTCCCGGCTCGGTTCGTCTCATACACGGGCCGCAAAAAATTTTTTCTGCCCACGGTTAGTAGGGCTGCCCCACGGCGGATGGCGGCATTTTGAATGAGGGAGGTGGAAGTGGGGGGTGGTAGGTGGCGAGTTTCGTTCGGGGTAGGGGTGGGGGTAGGATAGGTGGATATAAGTACTAAATGGCTTAGATCGTTTGCCGATTGACTAAGTAACGTACATTTGAAGGGAGAGGGGAGTGGTGAAGGACGGAAAGGGTGAGGAAGTGTGCTCCTGCGATTTCCCTTTTTATGAAACTGATGCTTAGGAAAAGCTGTTCCACAAAAACCAATCATTATTAGTCTTCTCTATTTATGAAATTGATGCTTAGGTAGAGTTGTTCCACAAAAACCCATCATCAGACTTTCCTATTTGAGAAATTGATGCTTAGGTAAAGCTTTTTCATAAAAACCCATAATCAGACTTTTCTATTTATGAAATTTATGCTTACGTAAAGCTGAGAACGAATAAGTTCCATGAAGCGGGCAAAAAACAGAGTAGAATGGATGCCTGGGAATGAAGTCAGCCTTGCTCCTGTGAGATTTTGAAGACAAAAAAACAAAGTTATAATTGTTGTGCACAGTTGCAGGCTGCAAGAGGCAACACTTTGGAATTGTCTGCAGTTCTTGTGTAATCCAGTTGGACTTATTTGCCCTCTCTTCACCTAAGCATAAGCTTCAGTAAATATCGTCGAAATTATTTGCCCCCAGCTTCACCTAAGCATAAGCTTCAGTAAACCCTGTCGAAATTATTTGGAAAAAGCTTCACCTTAGCATAAACCTCATAGATGTGAGGACCGCTTACTGAAGGCGGGTTTTTGTAAGAAAAATCCTACTCGCATAAGCTCAGTTTTTGTTTGCTTTTGCTTTTTTTTTTTAATTTTTTTTTGGTTACAGGCTCCAATTCTTTAATTTTGCTTTTTTCCCTTTATTCGCAAAATCAGGTTTGTTTTAATTTACTCTTTTTTATAGTGAGTTAGTTTATTTTCCTCTTTACTGCTATCTGCAATTCTTGCTTCGAACTTCTGACTAGAACCCTTCTTCCCCTCCTGTGTCTTGTCCCCAATCTTCGCCTCCAAAACCGCATCGGGGCACCCATCACCTCGCACCACTATCACCGTTTATCGTCCTAAACTCCTAACCAGCAACTTCATTCCTCCCCTACTATCCTGGCCTTAGTCATGCCCTCTGACTTGTACCTGGGCAACAACTAACCAACACCCCCCAACCATATCCAGTCGTCCCACCCACACCCTCCCAGCCACGTGGTTCAGCCGCCAGATACTGGGCAGCGCTACCCAGCGCGTCTACCCAGCCAGCGCCGTCGCGGAATAGTGTAGGCGAAGGTGATAGGGCGGAATGCTGGAACGCTAAAGCACCACAGGTCATCAGCCGAGTCGAGTTATTGTAATTGCCCTGCTTTAAATACTTCAGTAATTATAAAAATTCGGCTCGGCTCAGCTGATGGCCGATGGTATTTGAACAGTGCACTGGCATCTTTGCCAACGCTATCTCACGGCGTCGCTCGCCGGAACAGCTTGTCACTTTGCCAGACACGCTGGGTGGCGCTACCTTGTGCCTGGATCGCATACTTGAGATGGTGCGTAGGTGGGTTGGATGTATTGGGGAGCGGTTGGTAGATGCCGAAATACAGCTCACAGTACGCGGTTGAGGCCGGGATGGTGAAGAGGGATGAAGGTGCCGGTCAGGAATTGAAGGCGATAAACGGTGACAGTGGTTGGGAGTGGTGGGTGATGGATTTCACGATGCAGCTTTAGAAGCAGATATGGGGAACAGGATAGGGGAGGGGAACGGGGGCGCTATTCAGGAGTTCGAGGCAACAACTGCAGACAGCAGTAAAGAAATCATTGGCGACGCGCACTGGGGGGGCCCCGTGCGATCATGCATTTTTGCAGTGTTTTGTGCTGTAATAAGATTACTCGAAATTCCACTAGCTAGAAACCTCTTGTGCATACTGGCCCTCGAATTTCGGGAACTTAATTATCCATGCTATAGTAAAACAGGGAACATTTCCTTGAAATCGCGTGTCCTAGCTTTCTCAGTTCCCGAGTTAGCAAAATTGCAGCTAAAAAATTTCACGGGGCCGTGCGTAGCCACCACGCATTACGGGGGGGCTGAATTTGATAAATTCAAGTTGTAGATGAGTTGAGAACATTTCCTGAAAGTTTCAGCCT